ATTAGTACCGATTTAACGCGACCATTCCCTCAAACTTCCATTTTTTATGAAAAATTTTTTATGAAAAATTTTTTATGAAATTTTTCATAATTATAATATTTTTTTATGAACAATCTATTCGCCATCAAAGATGGGGTCCGGGGGAAAAAAATTGTCATCAGAATTTTTTTGACAAATTTTCCAAAAATTTTGGAAAACTTTTCAGAAATTTTTCTTGTGAAACAAAAAAAATCGCAAGACAAAACAATTTTATTTTTGGGAAAGGTTCTGAAAAATTTTTCCAAAATTTGAATAGAAATTTTATTCTGAACAGTTTCCAGAAATTGTTTGAAAATTTGGACAAAATATTCTGATTGCAATTTTTTTTTACCCGGGTGGTTTCTAAAATTAATTTTTCAATAAATTATAAGAGGCAAATGGGAACATAAAAGGAATGCGATATAAATTATTTGATGCTCATCCCTTTTAAAAATGGTTCAACTATTTCACATTTCTCCAGATTAAATCATCATCTTGTACTGAAAATTATGATTTTGCACGTGTCATATTGACTCTTTCTCCCCAAAGGCCTCTGTCTACATAATAGGGTCATTATCACTCCCATTTACCCACGAATTCTTCAGAATAATAAATTCGAGTTGAGGGAAAAATGTAAATTCGGGTAATTACTGAATTACTTCCACTTTATCCTCAGCTTTTTTTTTTCGCTGAAAAACTTGGTAAAGAGTAATGAGTTCCACCTGCTCCATGTTTAGCATTGAAAAAAAAAAAACGGATAAAGTGGAATGAGCGGAGAATAAACTCGAAAAAGTAGGTAAAATTCCGAGGAGAGTGATAAACTTAATTTATCGAGACAAAGAACACGACGAATTAGCCAAGGAGTTTCGTGGAATTGGATCTTAGAGAAGAGGAATGTAAGCCTCTGCGTGGCTGATTCAATTTTCAACGCAACGATGCTTGATTTCTCGCATTGTTGCCAAGTCATATGAAAGAGTTCGACTCCAAGAATAAAAAACATTTAAAGGAAAAATGAATATTTATGCGACTGGCTATTCATTGCCAAATATCATGAGACAATAATTGCAGCCGATTTAAAATTAATTTCTTAGAATAAAATGTCCACAGTTTAAAGCGGAGTAAATAAATCAATAGTGATTAAAAAATGAGTTTTAGCCACTGGGAAAACATCAAAGAGCAGAATAAAAATGAAATATTCGGAGATGGAGGCTGAGGAAGGCTAGGGCCTCGGTAAAATTGCTCATGCGACTATAAAGTGGAAATGAGAATTGAAAAAGACCATCGCTCCAATGAATTTTACGTTTGAAAATTGCGCAGAGTGAAATAGAGGAGGATGTGAAGGAGAAATGAAGAAAATGCAGTTGAGTATGTTGCTTGGTGAAAAAAAGAAGACAAGGTACCAAAGAGAAAGATGAGAGACGGAGTGATACGGATGAAAGAGTTGCCAAGTAAAGACGACGCTTGGGGTTTTCGAGTTTTGTGGACTCTGATATTTATTTTCCATCTCTCTTCTTCCCCTTTTCTTTCCCTCTTCTACCATGCAGTACTGTAACTCGTGAAGGGTGGAATTTTCTTCCCTCTTGAATGTACCTAACCGAGTATCAACATGGCTCGGGTATGATTGTGGGAATGAGGTGAATGGAGTAGTGGAGATAAGGACTTCTGAAGAATATTTAACTGGGAAATCATTTTTTTTTTCTCAAAAAATAGGATTTGAGGATCACTCTCGGCAGTGTGAATGGAATTTTTATTATTTAATGCATTAAAAATATTATTATTTCGTACTAATCTAAAATTTCAACACTCACAAACCGAAAATTGAAGGATTTTGGGGATATTCAACATTCGATACATTGAGTTGTTAAAAATCAGGAATGAGAGAAAAATTCTAGTCTGACAGTCGGGGAAATAAAAATACTTGACAAATCACTCAGAGCCCCTGGGGGTAAATTGTGAGGCGCCCCGTGGAGTATTTCCAGGCTCTTGCACAGGTGAACACGATCAAAGGACCCGAGAGGAGTTTCTATCCTTGAGACCGAGAAATCACCAGTTAAATTGTACAGAAAATTCATCTGTCCATAAAGAAAATTTTTTTTCGGCCGACGAAAGGAGAAAAAAAGAGAGATAAATAATTAATGAATGGGTGGACACGTCTACACCAGATATTTCCCCACATTTTCACTGTTTTTCCTAATTCCTTTGTGTTTATGTGTCCTTTACCAACAATTCCCTTGGTAATTTTCCTACCAATGCGTGTTATGAATATTCATCGCATGAATTATTTAGATATTTCGCCATTTCATTAAGAATTATCACATGGAAAAAGGGAATTATTCTCCTAGTGCTTAATGATCCCGATTCACGATAAAACAAATTAATTCTACTGATGTTAAATTAAATTATCCATCAAGAATAATAAATTTGAGGATTTGAATTAATCTCAGAAGATATCTGGGTAAAAAAAATTGTAATCGCAATATTTTTGACAAATTTTCAAAAAATTTTTGCAAAACTTTTCCGAATTTTTTTTTTATTAAACGAAAAAAAAATCGGAACAGAAAACAATTTTATTTTTCGGAAAGGTTCTGAAAAATTTTTCGAAAATTTGAATAGGAAAATTTTTTTGAACATTGAGAAAACAAAAAAGTAAGAAAACAACGGTATAATCAAAAGAAAAAATTATATTTGCAAAAACTTCTAGAAAATTATAAAAAAAAATTTCCGAAACAAATTTTTGAAAAATTTTTCAAAACATTTCCCAAAAATACAATTGTTTTGTTTCCCAATTTTTTTTTGTTTCAAAAAAAAAAAATTTCTGAAAAGTTTTCCTGAAATTTTTGGAAAATTTGAAAAAAATATTCCGATTACAATTGTTTTTTACCCGGGAATAATTGGAGTAATGACTGTCGAATTAAACCAAATATTTACAATTCTTGAAAATTCATTCTGCCTTCAATTTTTTCCGTAATATTTCAGCCTGGAGCCGATTCACTCCGTTTTTATTCATTTCTACGGGGAAAATTTTTTTTATTGATGATTTTTATTTTGAATTCCAGGCGTGAACAGCCGGCGCCTCGTGTTCTCTGGTGGAGTGAATCGCCCCGCGGCGATAGACTCGATAGTCCAGGATTAAGGGCCATAAAACACCTACGATAACATGAGAGCTCGAATATTTCAATTATTTATGAGAAAGTTAGTCCTCTCTATCGATTCACAAACTCAAATAATTGATTTAAAAGGAAAAAACGAATCGGAATTTCATCGTTATTTTAAAATAATTCGACAGTTATTCACTCCATTAAAATGTAAATTTCAAGTTTTTCAAGACGGGTCGAGTGTAACCTCAGGAGATCGGAGAAAATTTTGTGAAAATAACAAATTGACGATCAATTTTATCCCGTTATTTCTCTGAACATTGAAAAACAATTTATTCCTGCGATTTATTGGCTTCTTTTCCTGCCCATAAATTTGGAGTTGTGGAAAAAATTCCAGGGAAAATGTGAGAATAATTTTCATGATAATGAGATTGGATTAGATTCAGGAAATAATTACAAGAGTGAAATTTGAAGAGAATTTGGGAAATGTTTGGTACGCGTAGCGAAATAAAAAGTGTAAATTTCGAAGAAAATAGTGACATCAGGATTTTACAATTTCCGGTCGTGAAGATGCCGAAGAGGATGATATGAATTATAGACCGATGGAGAAATAAATCTGGAGCATCCGGTGTGATGGGAGAGTGAGTACTTAAAAAGGTCTTGAGCCTCAAAAACACGAAAACTATTGAGAAGAATAAAATGAAATCTCGAACACGCACCGGAAACCCACAATTCCCCCGCTCTTTGTGTCCTCAGGGCTGCCTCCAGTATAATTCTTGTGAATTCAATTCTACTAGCCCAAAATAAAAAGACCAAAGACAGGACAAACCCAACGAAAAAAAAAAAAAAAAAAAATGTGTTCCAGTGATTTGAGAATGGAATGGTCTTTTTTTTCATTTGCTTTGCGGCTTTCATTTTTTGTTGTACTTGGTGACCGCATTGAGATGACAATAAAATCCTTGAAACAATAGGAATGGAAGGAATTAAATGTCGTCAAGGAAATCCGAGAATTTCTGTTAAAAAAATACTCAGACATTTGCCGAGACCTAATCTGACCTAATCCGTCAATTTCAATTCCGTAATCTATCCCCCCCAAAAAAAAATCCGAGACATTCGATTGATCGTGAAATAGTGTTGCAGATAGTAAAATTAAAAATTTCTCTTCTTCATTTTGACGAATGATACATTAACGTCAGGATGACGTAAATTCGTCGAGCTGATTAAATCACCCGCAATAATGACAATTACCACGATAATGCAATTACACTGGAATAATACGAGTGAGAAGTAATACCCCGAGTTGCTCTCTCGTCTCCATTATTTCACATTGATCTAGCGTGACAAGAAGATAGGATGACGTTAACGGGTGCGGAAGTAGCGCAACTCTCATCGTAGTGTACGTTTATGCTTTCACGGTGTTTCTCAGTGACGTTCATGATAGTGAAGTGTATAACCCATTCCTTTTCGTATAGCTGTGTAATAGAGGATGGGAGGGACAAAGAGTACTGGTGAGAGAGGAGAGAATGGAGGAGCCCTTGATGACGTCGAGACGTAATTTGCCTACTCGGATAAGATAAGAACCCACTCACCTGCCTCATACCGTGTAATAATGAAAGGATTCTCAGGCAGAGGTATAATAAATGTCTAATAAAATTTTTATCGCTCAATTCTGGTGTTTAAACGAGGTAAATGAGAGGAGAGACTTTTTACTCCCTAGGTTGAACAAAAGTCTAAATATTATATCGATAAAATTCAGAGTAATGCAGTCAATTCTGGGCATTTACTATTTATCATTTATCGAGGGCGGAATTGAAGAAATTAAAGGCGAAATGGCGAAATGGCGAAATGGCGAAAGTTTTATTTCAATATCATCTTGGGAGTTCTTACCGTGAAATCAGCAGAGTGACCTCCTCCAACCTCTCAACCGGGGATTTTCTTCACGAACAAAAAATCTGAAGCAAAAAAAAAAATAGCAAAATCAATCATCCCAAAAAAAAAAATCGATATTCTCTCATTTCCCCGCATTCTACCGTCAAGTGCATATTCGCATCGTCATGGTTGATATGCATAACCCCGCGAAAAGCGGATCGAAACAGGTCCGGAGGGGCATTTGAAAGAACGAAGATAAAAAAAATGAAAATAAAGAAGGAAAGTAGAAAAAAAATACTGACCGCATCCAAGCCTGGGCCATTGTTGGGCACGTCCGACCCTAGAATGCATAAATTACGGGGTTGGCATTCTGTCGTGCCCCCTGTATTCCTCCCCACCCCCTATTTCACTTCTGTATGCCCTTGCCCCATGGCCAGTCGTCACTCCCGAGGGCAAAATGGGGCGTGGTGGTCTCGCCACTGGCCAGAGGTGATAAACTGCCCGAAGGAAATTTGCTCGAGCCAGTCGATCACTCTCGTCAACCCCATCACAATACCCCATTTCTACTCTTTATTTATTGTGGAAGCGATTCAATCGAATTGACCGTAATTTACTATTTTCCTGCCAATTTCAAGCAAAACTATTGATACATTTGATATCAATGCCTTTCAAGTTTTCGTTTCATTATTACAAAAATTAAATATTACACTGAGAATCCTGGGTAAAAAAAAATTGTAATCGCAATATTTTTTACAAATTTTTAAAAAATCTCTAGAAAACTTTTTAGAAAATTTTCTAGACACAATCGTATTGAAAAATTTTTTAAAAATTTTTGCGAATATAATTTTTTTTTCAAATGTACTGTTGTTTTCTTACTTTTTTAATTTTTGAAAATACTCTCAAAAAAACGCCATCGAAATTATAAAAAATAATTCCTATTTGAATTTGTTGAAAAATTTTTCAAAACCTTTCCCAAAAATAAAATTATTTTCTTTTGCGATTTTTTTCCTGTTTCGTAAAAAAAAAATTCTGAAAAGATTTTTTTTTTTTAACCAGGGAATCAACTAATTTACGCACTCAATTTTATAAAATACGTTATCTCCTGACGTTACGAAATAGCATCTGCTGTGTTTGTACTTAATGTTGAGCAACAGCAGACGCCCGCTAAAATATATAACTCTCGTGTGAGGTTTTACAAACACGCACGGCTGCAGTATAAATAATTAAAGACTTGTGTGAAAGAGAGACTTCTCCGTACCAAGAAATATGCCGATCGATAAACGTTATGGTGAAGATAAGATCTCTACGGTCGATTGGTTTACTGAGAAAAGAAGTTGAAGAAAAATACCATGATCATTTTTCAAAATATAATAGGGGTGGAGAGAATTGATGTGACGACGTGCTTGGAATATTCATACAATCGGCCGTCTAGAATCGATGGTTAATTCATTAATTTGAATTATTCAATTGTCCCAGGTGATATTTACTGCTGGAGAAGTGAATTAGCATCGTACTATGTAATTATTTAATTATCTGCGTGCCAATTTCTCCCCGGAACTTCAACCAATTGAACCTAATTAATTCAGAAAATATATCCTTGACACCATTTTACCCCTTTAACCCTTTTTTTTGAGTTATAATTACAAGTAAGAACTTTTGGAATATTTTCCTTATCATTACTCTAGACTGTGAACCCCCGGGAAAATCAAATGAACAATTCCAATCGGTTCTCGTCAACTCTATCATAGCATTACGTGTCTTCAACCATCGACATGACCCAACAAACTTTACCCCCTTTTCTACACGAGGTCATAACTGACCTTTATATCACAGCAATAAGTTACCGCAATATCACAAACCACCCTCCATTAATACCCATCTCAAACTCCAATAATTTCCAAGAAAGATACCAAGTTCATTGTCCATCCAGTTATATCACAATATTTTTTATTCCATTCTCCCTCAGCATACCATCCCACTATTTCGTGACAATAATTTATAACCCACCCCTATATATTTATTTTTACGTTTCCCAACGACCTAAATACTCTTGCCTCTGGCGAAGGGCCGACCCTTATTTATTATTTTTTTCTCTCCACTACAAGTTCTCTCCTCCCTCTCTCTTAAATTTTTTACGAGACTGATTGATATGCCACTCTTCTTTCCTTCATAAAAAAAAACAACAAATTCGAGAATATCAAGACCCCCAAATATGAATAAATCAATACCAAAATTTTTGTTGATATTTTCCACAGCAATATTTCCGCGAAGATCATTGGTATTTCATACAGGGAGAAAAAATAAACTAGCAATTATCATATAAAATTGTGACAGTTTTGCTCTGTAAGCTGGGTGGCTGTAACCGCGGTGGGGCTTTGTCCCTCATAGTATTTTCCATTTTTTCCCCCAACATTTGGAATTCTCTTTTCTTCAATTTCCCCTATCCACAACCCCTGGACTCTTTTGTGAGGCGTACAGTGACAGCGGCGCCTCGACGAAATACCAAGTCTCGGGCCATTAATTCTCTTCTTTTCGTATGCTCGTGGGGTAGCTAGGAAAAAGAAGGCCATCTCTTTTATCCCCTTGATTCTCCTGCTTGAGGTTAGAGACATCGTTAATCCCTGAGTTTTATTTACTTCAGGAGAATAATAGTTATGGTTATGAGTGAGTTTTACGTGTTGAGATACGATTAGGGGTGAGTCGATCGATGCTATCGGTATATATTAATATATTTTTATCTAATAATGGATTATAATATTAAATAAAACTATACTGTGATGCATTGAATTTTGCATGAAAAAGAGATTTGTGATTAAGGATAAATGTAATTTTCGGGTGAAATGTACGAGCTTTGTTTGAGTACTCCATAATCTGACAAAATATAACTTTGCACAAGAGATATTCCCACGTTTTTCGTTATGTATAACCCAAACACACTGACTGTATATAGTACTCATATACAGATACATAACGTAGTACCGAGTTATACACATAGATCGTAATTCAGGCTCCCAACTGGGATTTAAGCTTTCATTTTGATAGGGGGGATGTACTCAGTATAAATCTCAATTGCACTGTCGCCGGTAAAATGAAATTTTATTAATAGCACTTTTGCTTTGTTTTTCTGGATATAGACGATTTTTATATGCATCGATTTGAGGGGGGCAAAAAAAATATCGATGCGAATTGTTCTCTCACTCGGTACTCTTCCTGTTGAAAAAAAAACGCAAGCTCAAAGGAATATGATCGAACGATTTGTCCGACAGTTTTGCCCTATTTTTTTTTTAAATCAATTCTCTTTTTGTTCCTTGAGATTGCAGGCGTTTCAGTGGTACCCGTGTATGATTGCTGGATAGGGCATGAAACAGAATAGCCTACCACCTTCTATATAACTCAGGAGTAAAGCCTTTGTAGAGTGCATACGTATGACCCCAAGGGCTATAAAGGCAAATGGCATATGAAGCGGCACCGCTACTGTTACACGATCAGTTTCTGTTTTTCAACAGATTTATTCCCTCTTGCCTTTTATCAATTGGTGGTTTAACGATGTTCAGAAAATAGATTGAATATACCCGGGAAAAAAAATTGTAATCGAAATATTTTTTCCGAATTTTCAAAAAATTTCGGGAAAAGTTTCCAGAAAATTTTTTTTATGAAAAAAAAAATTGGGAATGATATTTTATTCTTGGGAAAGGTTTTGAAAATTTTTTCCAAAATTTCAATGGGAGAATTTCTTTTATAATTTAGATGGCGTATTTTTTGAGAATATTGAAAATAAATAAATATTTTTGCAAGAATTTCTAGAAAATTATTAGAAAAATTTTCCGAAACAACTTTTTGAAAAATTTTTCAAAACATTCGCCAAAAATACAATTGTTTTGTTTCCCGATTTTTTTTGTTTCAAAAGAGAAATGTTTTGAAAAGTTTTCAGAGATTTTTTGAAAATTTGAAAAAAATATTCGAATTGCAATTTTTTTGTCCGGATACTGAGGATATATGTGGTAAATTCCATCTGTACATTGAAATTTGTTTAAAAATAGGGTAAATGTCCACAATATATACCTTTGAAACCTGGAAAAATGAAAATTGGCCGACTTGGCCGATGCACTACCGCGCATTGTTTACGCTCTGAATTATTATCCGAGGGGGATTAAAAATTGTTTAGGAATTAATCTGTTTTCGAAGGTTCGAGATTTATGTTCAAGAGGTAAAATGGTGGTGACGAGAGAGAGAGATGGTAAGAGCGCAGAAGCGTGTAATGCATTCCCGTTCATTGTTCCCATCCCCGTGTGGTTCCGATCGATGGTGAACGCCAGGGTACCCTGTGCCATTATTAACGAGCCCGAGTGCCTCGGACCTTATTGTACTCCACGGTGAAATGTCTCTGCCAGTTCTGGGTGGGGAGATCGTTGGAGATCGGTGGAGGGTTGATGTTAGGGTGAGTGGAACGAAGAGCCAACGGTTCGCTCAAGGACCGATCGAGTCTGTGAACCCAGTACTTTCGACAACTATTGGATATACCATCAACTATTTTGTACTTTAATTATTTTATTTCTTTGGATTCACTATCGGCATTATTTGTCGTCCCATCTTCGGGAATTGTTTTGAACACTCGAGGGGACAATGACAAAGGCGCGAGCCAGTTTCCAGTGGAATTGGGTTATGTTTTTGGTCGAGTTATGGGAGAAGTGCTCCTGGGGTGAGATTCCACTGTCGATTTTGGTTTATGACCATTCACCGAAAACTCCACCGATTTCATTTCAACACTTCAGTATATATCGATCAATTCCGTGTAAATATGATGATATTAAAATCATATTTCCCGCCCTATTGAAGAAATTCAATGGAAATATTTACTTAATGTTTGGATTTTCGTTGGAATTACCAGTTAAACGCAATGAAATTAAATTTCAAAAACAATTGTCACGATTAGTGCAACTAGGACGAGGGACAATGGTCCGTTCGTGTTAAACACATAAAACTATCGACAATAGGGTTTGGAGGGCCAGACTTTTGGTAGCAAACGGATTAACTGTTTGGTCCTCGTGGACCGGGGCAAACATTTCAAACCAGACTGAATCTG